GATTACCTTTTGAGACAGACCACATTATTTGCATTATGAGCTATGTTTGAAAGTTACAGACCTCTGCTTTAATATCTCCACAGCTGGTTTTGGGTCTCGTTCTTTTTTTGTGGTCATAAACACTGGATATTTGTCTCTGAGGGCAGCGGTCGGTTAGTGGTTATAGATGATTTTCTGCTGTTTCCAATATGGCAGGCCTCTCCCTCCAGCTGCTCTGGTCTGTTTCATACTTTAATAACAGCGATGATTGTGTCTCACTTGTGAATTCTCCGCGACGGCTTCATTCAAACTGGATTTACCGCCCCAATACAAAAGCACCACAGACAACCATCTGTCAAAGTGTTCCACAGAGTATCACAGCCACAAACAAGATGATGAGAACCACTCGGACGTCAACATATGATTTAAAAGTCACACATCGTATCAAATCTCCAGCTTTTCATCATGTTAACTATTTCTCCTTATTGACATGTCCTACTTTGTCATCTTTCAATCTAAAGCAATCTGAAAAAGGGCTGAAGTAGGAAGAGAGAGGCTAGTGAGAGAGAGAGACCAGAAAGGGGCCAGGGAGAGAGGGAGGGATCAGAGAGAGAGAGACCAGAGAGAGAGAGAGAGAAAGAGAGAGGCCAAAGAGAGATAGAGAGAGACAAGAGAGAGAGAGAAACCAGAAAGAGAAGGAGAGACCAGAGAGAGAGAGAAACCAGAGAGAGAAGGAGAGACCAGAGAGAGAGACCGGAGATAGAGAGACCAGAGAGGGGCCAGAGAGAGAGAGAAAGAGAGACCAGAGAGAGAGATAGGCCAGAGAGAGAGAGACCAGAGGGAGAGGCCAGAGAGGGACACCTGAGAGAGAGAGATTAGGATGTACACACCGCCGACTACATCATGAAGCGGGTTAAATGCAGGGTTGATGTACTTAAATCAGATATTTTCTCATCTCTAGAATACAATATATGTTCTTGTTGCTCTCACACATACTGACACATCTTCCCTGCGCGTTTGCGGTGTGATTAACATTCGGCTTTGCTCTTAGCCTTGAGTTTGATCTGGGAAAGTGAGCCCCGCGCGTTCACACCAGTACCCACGGCCCGCGCCCTCACCCCCTCCCTACCCCCGCGCAGCCTCGGAAATAATCGCGCACTTAGCTTGATTTATCGCTTCCATCGCCGCTTTACGAGACGCCGCCGCGAGGAGAGGTAAATGAGGAGCACGGCAGTTTCAGCACGTCCGACAGAAACACGGGAGGAAGAGGAGGAGAGACCGCTGCAGAGAGAGAGTAGAATGTGTATTTATTTAAGGGACGTTTTGAACACGCTATAAAGTTCTAAATCTCTGTGTTAAAGCTGGGACTATGACTTTAAAACCACAAACATTGGAGCTATGTTTAGATCAGCTTTTTCAGACAGAAAATTTAAAAAGAAAGGGCCACCCTCAGCCAATCAGCTCTCATCCCAAATAGTGAATCTCTGGTCTCGCTCTGCTCTCTCTCTCTCTCTCATCTAGTCCCTCTCTTGTCTCTCTCTGGTCTCTGTTTTGAGTCTTTATGGTCTCTCTCTCTCTGTTCTCTCACCCTGGTCTCTCTCTCTCTTTGGTCTCTCCTGGTCTCTCTCTCTGGTTTTTTTCAATTATGTAGAACATACTTTCGTATACATTCCAGGCTCCACTCAGACCACAAATGAAGTTAGCAATCATAGGATATTATTTTGATTTGTTTTATTTCAGTTTTTCATATTTCAATAATTAGTTGGTGAGCCACAGATTTTTTATCAATAACCTGTGATACATGTGCAGATACATCGGCCCTGGTGTCATGTGGTTGTTTAAACAGCTGGGAATTCTGGGAATGTTCTGGGAATGCTGTGGGAATCGTGAAGAGAGAGAGAAGTGCTGACAGATACAGTGCATGTGCTGCAGATTGGCTGGAATGACAGAGACCTGCTTAAGACCTACTTTTGTTATGACAGGGCTAACGTATAGGTCTATATGTCCTCAATCCTGTTCAGTTGGTCTCCAAAAGCCACTTTGTGTAATTTTTACAGCTGCTCCATATTAAAAACATATTAACTAATAACAAATGTGGTCTTTTTAAGAATATTTACCTCCACCATGTTTTTGAATTTTAATCATAGGCTTAGAATTTAACTTATAAGTGTCCATGAGAGAGGAGTGCTCTCCGTGTAAATGCGCCATCTTGAAAAACATCGGTGGATAAAGGACAAAAAGGATGCAAGAATCGCATTTTCGTTTCACATGAACTGATATTGTTGCTTTCACTGTGCCTTCACACGTTGGAAGAAGGAACCATAGAGGACCACAGTTATATAAAAGAACCATGGAGGACCACAGTTATGTAAAAGAACGATCCGACCAACAATTTTTTAGAAAAATAATGATGCAGATGTCCAGTGTCATAGCAGCAAACTGTCAACATCACAAACCACACCCACAAAGACAGCGTTAACACAACAGGAGGCACATTGTGTAGTTTGTACACAACAGACTCACACGTAAACAATACCTAACTTTTTTTCACACTGACAATAATGACAACGAGGCAGACTCTACTTGAGTCTCTCAACACAGTCTCAGGATGTTCTGACCCAATTCGAGCGCAGTCCAACTACTATCACAAGTTTCAACTAAACGTATTCAGGGAACAAGCCTCAAACAAAACACACACAGAATCCCCACAAAACAATCGCCAGAATACTTTATAAGCAGCGTGAATGAATGTTCCGTTTTCTACCATGAGGCAGATAGGGCGCTGTGGCTAACGCTGACATGAGCTTTTAGCCATATCCTGCCGCGGCTGTGTATATCTCCTGCTTCTTTGATCATCGTAGTTTAAAGCTCCCACAGACATTATTCCTCCATGCGTCCATGATAAAACTCAGTAGAGCCTCTGTGCAGCGGGTGCCGCGTCTGAACGCGGTCTAGTTTACAAGTCGCCTTTACGCGACTGTCAAGTGCCCGGGACGTTTGGAGAGATCCGGTCATTTATCAAACTAAAGTATTATTTCCTTGGCGGTCTGGTGAACGACTGGGAGTTGAGGAGCACTACTCAATGGCTTCCGTGCTATATTGGACTGCAATATACTGTATGATCTCAACGCTAGATGGCACAAAAAATTACACAGTGTACCTTAAAAGCTGGGGTATGTAATGTTCACAACAAGTAGTGGTAGAGGTGGTCGTTCTCTGGTCTCTATCTGTTCTCTCGGTCTCTCTTTGGTCTGTCTCTCTGGTCTTTCTCTTTTACCGCTTGTCTCTCTCTCTCTTCTCTAGACCTGCTTTTGTCATGACAGGGCTAATGTACAGGCCTATATGTTCTCTCCTCAATTGTGCCCCTAATGTTCTATGTATCAGCAGTCTCTTAAAGCTGGGGTACGTAACTGGCAAGCCATAAGTTAGTAGTGGTAGTAGTCAGTCTGAATAAGCAGATCTAAAGATGTGAAATTAAAACTGGTGATAAAAGCAAACCGTTTTGAGAGTAAGAGACATGGATTTTATTCCATTGTTGTGCATTGAAAGTTACTTAGCTGTAAGTAGCTATGGTACTTACCAATACTTTCCATCTTTTGATGGTTGGAAATCCTGATCTGGTGTCTCTCAAGGCCTTTCTCTATCTGGTCTCTCTTTGATCTCTCTCTGGTCTCTCTCTTGTACTGCTGGTCTCTCTTTCTCTCTCTTGTTTCTTTCAAGTTTCTTTCTCCTGTCTCTTTGGTGTCTCTCCGGTCTCTCTCCGGTGTCTCTCCGGTCTCTCTCCGGTCTCTCTCTGGTTTCTCTCTGGTCTCTCTCTGGTCTCTTTCTACAGTCTCTCCAGTCTCTCTTGTCTCTCACTCTGTCGTCTACAAGCGACAGGAGAGACAGTCTCTCCCCAGTTTCTCTCGAGTCTCTCTCTGGTCTCTCCAGTATCTCTCTGGTTTCTCTCCGGTCTCTCTCTGGTTTCTCTCTGGTCTACCCTCTGGTCTCTTTCTCCAGTCTCTCCAGTCTCTCTTGTCTCTCTCTCTCTCGTCTACAACACGATTCCCTTTTGAGATGGACCACATTATTTGCATTATAAACTGCAACAGTGAAATCCACTCTCTGAGACACAATGGCATCATACAATACATTTCTCACGTATTTCATTAGGATGGACAGATTCTCAGTTGAACCTCCTGCTTCCAGGGACAATACTTTTCTCCGGCTATTGTCGTCAGCCACAAATTCACTTCCTCCATATAGGAACCCCAAATGACAGCAAAGTACAGGTGCAAAAGTCTCATCTGTATGCGCATAATTTGTCAGCATGGCGGCGTTGAGATAAGTGCGGGATTCAAAGCTCAAATGCAGCACGGAAAACTGTCTCATGAATCCATTTTGGGATTCAAGAGAAATGACGGATATGTGTTTGACCCAGTGACACTTTGTGAGGATTGTGGAGAGAGAGAAGGAGGAGCGGTAGTGGTGGTGGTAGTGGTGGTGGTAGTAGCAGTAGTGGTGGTGGTTGTAGTAGTAGTAGTAGTAGTAGAAGTAGTGGTATTAGTAGCACAAGTAATGCCAATGCTTCACGTGCACAAAAGAAACAAAAAATAAAACGGCATCAAATAGATGTAAAATGTAAAAAGGTAATAGTAGTGGTGGTCGTGATGGTTGCACTAGTAACAAACACAAAAGGAACTAGTAGTAGTAGTAGTTTTATTGGTCGCAGTTGCAGCAGCAACTGTAGAGGTTGTAGTAGCAGCAGCAGCAGCAGTAGTAGTAGTAGTACTGTAGCAGCAGTACTAGTAGCAGTGGTAGTAGCAGTACTAATAGCAGCAGTAGCAGTACTAGTAGCAGCAGCAGTACTAGTAGCAGCAGCAGTAGCAGCTGTAGGTTTTTCATGTACAGTAGATTAGTATTGTTGCCACAGCGACGCAGGCAAACGCCACAGAAATCACTTGGGACGAATCTGAGAGATTTAAAATGTGAGACTGTTACAATACACCTGGAGTCTACCATCCCCCTTTCCCACGGGTGAGATGGGGGGGGACGAGGGAGGCAGGTGTGAAACCCTCAGAGACATATACAACTGCTACAAATAATCCCATGATGACGAATGCAAAAAAACAATCATCTGTTAAATACAACGGCCTTTAGTCTGCGGCTAATCCTGGTTCAGTGTCTGCAATATATTAGATTGTCTCTCTGACCTCACTCTATATAGTCTCTCTCTCTTGTTTCTGTAGTGTTTTTTCTGCGCTCTCTCTGGTCTCTCTCTGGTGTCTCTCTGATCTCTCTCTGTTCTCTCTCTGCTCTCTCTGCTCTCTCTCTCTAGTGTCTCTCTGATCTCTCTTTGGATTCTCTGGTCTCTTTCCTTCTAGTCTCTCTCTTGTCTGTCTGGTCTCTCTCTAGTCTCTCTGGTCTCTCTCTCTTTCTGGTCTCTCTCGTCACTCTCTGTTCTCTCTCTTGTCTCTTTGATCTCTCTCTGGCCTCTCTGGTCTCTATATCTGGTCTTTTTCTCGCTGGTCTCATGTCTCTCTGGTCTCTCTCTGCTCTTTCTCTCTCTGGTCATTCTCTTCTCTCTTTGATCTCTCTCTGGCCTCTCCTTTCTCACTGATCTCTTTCTTGTCTTTCTGGTCTCTCTCTAGTCTCTCTGGTCTCTCCCTGGTTTCCTCGCTTGTCTTTCTGGTCTCTCGCTGGTCTCTCTCTCTGGTCTCTGTCTCTCTCTCTGGTCTCTCACTGGTCTCTCTCTGGTCTCTCTCTGGTCTCTTTCTCTCTGGCCTCTCTCTTTGCTCTCTCGCTAGGCTCTCTGATCTTTCTCTCTCTGCTTTCTACCTAGTCTCTATGGTCTCTTTCTCTCTGCTTTCTCTCTGGTCGGATCCAACACACTGGTTTGAAAGTTACGTAAAGTCACTTAAAAAAAAATACCTTAGACACAGTTCTGTATATTAAGAGATTCAGCCGTGACAGTCGGGCAATCTTTCTCCATGTGTCGAACCTGGGAACAACATAAATACAACCATAAATATATATCACATATTGTCTATTTTTATGTTCTCGAATGTGGAAATATTAAACATTAGGATTAATGCTCATTCTGCGGTTGGTTAATTAACAATGTTGTGATGTACTTCGAGACGTCTGCTGTTGAGTCACATACTATACTATAACTGTAAAGTTTGTGGGGTGGAATTTGGTAGCCCAACTTTAAATTGAGTTAGAAAGAACATAATCAGACAGCTTCCGGTCTGTCTTGCCAAGGAAGAACAAAACTTGAAATATAAATTAACTTTTGCTCATGTTTCCTGTAAACCAAGTACCTTTAAGACTTTTTGGAGCTCTCTTCCCTCGTTCAGAGCCTGTTTTCTGGCCTCTCTCGTCCTGTTCTGCTCTCTCCCGGTCTCTGCTCTCTGCTTTCCGGTCCTCTCTGGTCTCCTGGTCTCCCCTCTGGTCTCTGATGTCCTCTCTGGTCTCCTGGTCTTCTCTCTGGTCTCTTCTCTGGTCACTCTCTGGTCTCTTCTCTGCTCTCCTTGTCTCTTGTTCTCTGGTCTGGCCTCACTTAGGTCTCTTCTCCCTGGTGCCTCTCTCTGGCCCCCCTTTGGTCGCCTCTCTGCCCTTCTGATCTCTTGTTTTCGTGTTCTCTTGTTTTCCATACTGGTCCCTGGACTTGAGGGCGAACCGTCCTCTGGCCCCAGGAAGACCAGGTAGTAGAACCTGGGCACAGACGCAGGCAGAAGGCTCCACTCTCTCTTCTCTGTATCTGGAAACACATTTTTCTCACACATGGTTTGTTCCTCAATTTATGTTATATTTGTGTTCAATCAAAAACAGGAAGTGTTTTTCAATCATTTAAATGTCACTGTTGCCATGGCGAAATATCACTATAGTTTGGTGTCTAAGACAGAAATGGAAGCCTTCTTAATTAGTGAAAACGTGTGATGTTGCCACTGCTTAAGCTGCATCCTCTCTGGTCTCTCTCTCTGCTCCCCCTCTGGTCTCCTCAAATCTCTCTCTCTGGCCTCTCTCTCTCTCTGGTCTCTCTGGTCTCTCTGGTCTCTCTGGTCTCACGGACTGGTTGCCTCGCTTCTGTCAGTGTGCCGCAGGGCAGCTGTGGCTGTATAAAACCAATAGCTTATTGTTATTATTATTATCATTGTTATTATTGAGCTGAAAACAACTCCAGGTCTGTGTCTGATGGACCAATGTTGTAACATAGAGAATAGATCAGAAGAGCATAATACATATGAAGCTTAGGCGCAAATTCAGACTGGGAAGACCTGCATGCCGCAGTTCTCACCACACACAGCTCTGTCAGCCTCAAGCCTCAGCCAATCGCACAGCTCGGCCAGCCCCCCTGCCAATCACTGACAGCAAAGCCGGCAGTTTAAAAGCAGCCACTTCCTACTAACCAACCCTTCCTGAAGCTCTTGACACCCACGGTCTCCCCAGCTCCTGCTCTGGCTCCTGCTCCGCCTGCGCCCCATTCACACCATGCTTCTAGCCACCACCAGTGCTTGACCACGGGGATCTGAGATCATCTCAGCAGCAGTGATCTACCTGTAAGTGTCACTGCTGGGGTCAATGCAATGCTAAATGCATTAACGTGTCTGTCTTGGTCTCTCCAGATTGAATTCCTTTTATATATGATACTGGGGACTTGATATTGTGCGTCACATCACGTCTTCCTGCTGCACCTGCTGTGACATGAACAAATTTAGTCCGAGCCACCCACACCCGCAGGTCTCTCCAGCGAGGATACGATGTAAGCTATGTTGACAGTGATCTCCAAGCACTGCTCTCCTGCTCTGGAATATCTTTTCATTCATTGTAAACCATATTACTCCCCGCGCGAAATTGTTTCATTCATTCTTGCCTCTGTTTACATACCGCCATGCGCGGACGCGCGCGAGGCTCAGCGCGCACTCGCAGAGCAAGTACTGTGTATGGAACGCTTATACCCGGACTCTCTGATTATTATCCTGGGGGATTTTAATAAGGGAAACTTGAGCCAGGAATTACCCAAATACAGACAGTTTATCAAATGCCCAACCAGAGAGGAGAACACTCTGGATCACTGTTACACCACCGTGCGCGGAGCTTTTCGCGCTGTTCCCAAGCCAGCCCTCGGCTTCTCAGATCACTCCATGATACATCTGGTTCCTGCTTACAGACAGAGACTAAAGCTCTCGAAACCTGCAATGAGGAGCTCCAAAGTGTGGTCTGATGAAGCTGTGGAAGAGCTGCGCGCATGCATGGAATCTACAGACTGGGACCTTTTCAGAGCTGCCACAGATAGTTTGGATGAATATACGGACACTGTGACGTCATACATTCACTTCTGTGAGGATAGCATCATTCCAACAAGGACCAGGGTCATCTATAACAACGACAAACCCTGGTTCACTGCTAAACTCCGGCAGCTCAGGAAAGCAAAGGAGTCTGCTTTCAGGGAGGGGGACCGCAGCGGCTACAAAGCAGCTAAATATCAGTTCAGGAGAGAACTAAAAGCAGCCAAGTCCCGGCACAGAGAACGACTACAGGAGCAGTTTGGTAACAACGATACTGCTTCTGTCTGGAGGGGCCTACGGGAGATCACCAACTACAAACCCAAAGCCCCCCCCTGTGCTGACGACCACAAGCTAGCTGACGATCTGAACTTATTTTTCAGTCGCTTTGATGCTGCCCCTGACACCTCTCCCTCCCCCACCCCCCACTACTCTAACGACCCACCCATCAGCCCTGCCCCCAGCCTAACAATAGCCGCTAAAGAGATTAAACAACTCTTCCTGAGGCTGCACCCCCGCAAAGCTCCTGGCCCGGACCACGTGTCTCCGGCCACTCTGAGACACTGCGCCAGTGAGCTTACTCCTGTGTTCACGGACATTTTCAACACCTCTCTGCAGTCCTGCCATGTCCCGGCCTGCTCCAAATCCTCCATCATTGTCCCCGTCCCGAAGAAGCCCAGGATCACAGGACTCAATGACTACAGACCTGTAGCACTTACGTCTGTCGTCATGAAGTCATTTGAACGCCTGGTTCTCTCCCATCTCAAGTCCCTCACCTCCCCCCTCCTGGACCCCCTGCAGTTCGCCTACAGAGCCAACAGATCTGTAGACGACGCCATTAACCTGGCCCTCCACCACATCCTACAGCACCTGGACTCCCCGGGGACCTACGCCAGGGTCCTGTTCGTGGACTTCAGCTCTGCCTTCAACACAATCCTGCCATCCCTGCTCCAGGACAAGCTCTCCCAGCTCAACGTGCCCGATTCCACCTGCAGGTGGATCACTGACATCCTGACGGACAGGAAGCAGCGAGTGCGTCTGGGGAAGAATGTCTCGGACTCTCGGATTATAAATACAGGAGCCCCACAGGGCTGTGTTCTTTCTCCCCTGCTCTTCTCCCTGTACACCAACCACTGCACCTCCAGCCACGACTCCGTGAAGCTGATCAAGTTCGCGGACGACACCACCCTCATTGGACTCATCTCCAACAACGATGAGTCCGCCTACAGGAGGGAGGTGGACCGGCTGGTGTCCTGGTGCAGCGGTAACAACCTGGAGCTGAACGCCCAGAAGACAGTGGAGATGATTGTGGACTTCAGGAAGAGCACTGTCCCCCCACCCCCACCCTCCGTGATGGACTCCCCCATCACCTCTGTGGAGTCCTTCCGTTTCCTGGGCACCACCATCACCCAGGACCTCAAGTGGGAGCCGACCATCAGCTCCCTCATCAAGAAGGCCCAGCAGAGGATGTACTTCCTGCGGCAGCTCAGGAAAGCCAAGCTGCCTGCACAGATGTTGGTGCAGTTCTACACGGCCATCATCGAGTCCATCCTCACCTCCTCCGTCACCGTGTGGTTCGCTGGAGCCACAGTCAGGGACAAACAGAGACTACAGCGCATTGTGCGCTCTGCAGAGGAAGTGATCGGCCGCAGCCTTCCATCGCTGCAGGACCTGTACGTCGCCCGAGCTCGAGGCCGGGCTGGTCGTATCACAGCCGACCCCTCTCACCCTGCACATGGACTATTCCAACCACTCCCCCCAGGCAGGAGGCTGCGGTCCATCAGGACTAGAACCTCCCGCCACAAGAACAGTTTCTTCCCCTCTGCTGTTGGACTCTTGAACACTTCTTAACCTGTCCCCCCGCCCTTTATAAAGTCACTTTACTGCCCATCATACGTCACTTTACTTCACTGTACTGCTGTTCACCTTACAATGTGTGCACCATGTGCACTTGTATATTGTAAATAGTAACTGTAACTCTATTTTAAATTTAAATTTATTCTTTAGAAGTGTTTTTTATTCTTATTTTTATTATCTCTTTTTGACTGTTGCACTGAGCCAAAGCAATTTCCTAGTCTGTGACCTCCTGTTACTTACGTGGCAATAAAAATGATTCTGATTCTGATTCTGATGTTCACCCGGGCTTGATTTCTTCTTCCTTTCTTTTGCGACTTTTGAGCTGTTTTGTTGGGTATGCAGTAACAGCCAGAGGAGGTATAGCCACTTTCTGCTTGATCCTCCTTCGGCTGCCATGCTGTTCTTCATACCGGCAGGCGCTAGAGGAGGCATGGCCTGTTTGTAATAGCACTGCCGTTCCTCGTTGTGCCAACTCAGCACTTTGCATGGCTTGAATTCATACATAAGCTGAATCAATAAGCTAACATTTTCAATTAAACTACGAGTTTTAATACAACCTAAAACTACATTTTTATGAACTCATTAGAATATTAATCAGGTAAAGCTCCTTTAATATGTGTTTTCTGGGCCAAAATAACAGTGGAAAAACACCACACAAGTTCAAAACCACCTCCAGACGTCCACCAGACTGCAGAGACACAGGTTTGATATGCTCGCTGGTTACACACAGCATGGATTCATTCAGATGGGAGAAGACTAGATAATACAACATTATCAAGTGGTACTTTGTCAATTATCCCCTTAAAATGCCCCCATTCTTAAATTACATGCACTTTCGCACTTTTCAACCACTAGAAGACAATGACTGCAAACAAGGTTTTTCATTGTCATTCTATTTTCTCGTGTGCAATACATTTTAAATACCTTCAATAACTCACTGAAATACATCAGAGTATCTACTCAGTGTCTCAGATAACATTATTTTTTGTCTATTATGATGAAAATGAGCTGCAGTGCGTCTGAACTGTGCTTGAAAATGGAAAACTTCAAGTAACCTCACTCTGAAATCACCACCAATTCTTCAAATATCATCAGATTGATCCACATCTTTGGAAAGCTTAGAATCCACAATTTATCTCTGGACCAAGGCCCAGGTCTCCAAGATCCTCGCTCATCTCCTCCATCTCCTTCCCTTGTTCCCTTCCTCCCTCACTCCCTCACTCCTCGCTCGCCTCCTCACCCGCCTCCTCCGTCTCCTTCCCTCGGCCTGAGCCTCTGGGGACGTCTCTTTTGTGGCGCTCCAGGAGGATTTAAAGAGAAGATTTTCACAACCGGAAAGAAAAGACACAGAGGTCGAGTTCAAGACTTTACGTTTCAAGCGGAAAGCAGCAGCGCAGTGTTGTTTGAAGAGCAGCCGATGAGGGAGGAGGCATTAAAGCTCTGCTCTCCGTTTATAAAACTCTGGCCTCTCTCTCTTGCCTCTCTCTGGTGTCTCTCTCTGGTCTCTCTCTGATGTCTCTCTCTCTGGTCTCTCTCGGGTCTGTTTGGAGTCTGTGTTACCACTGGCCTATGCAAAAATGAAGCTAAAGACGCAGCTTCAGACTGAAAGACCGAGTGCAAATTCCCCTTTCCAAGCCTGCAAAGCACACAGTTCTGCCAGCCTCGAGCCTCAGCCAATCACACAGCTCTGCAAGCCTCGAGCCTCAGCCAATCACACAGCTCTGCCATTCTCAAGCCTCAGCCAATCACACAGCCCGGCCAACCTCCTGCCAACCCTCTCACAGCTAAGCGGGCAGTTTTAAAGGCTGGCACTAAAAGGCTGCCACTCTTAAACACCCACCACCTCCCCAGCACCTCCTCTGGCTCCCGCTCTGGCTCCCGCTCTGGCTCCTGCTCTGGCTACGCCCTATTCACACCATATTCTAGCCACCACCAGTGCTTGACCCCAGGGGGATCTGAGATCATCTTCAGCTGCAATCGATCTCATAGCTGCAAGTATCAATGCCGGGGTCAATGCGCCAAACAAATAAATAATTTTATTGCATTTAAGTGATAGTCTGTAACTCTAAATGAATTACAAATTTTAGGAAATGTGTTAAATTGACCTCCTGGCCTTAAATGTTGATATAAAATAAGTCATTTTATTAATTCTAATATTACGGGCAAGTCCCGCCTTCCCTGCTCTTAGCTATAGTTCAGAATCCACGGTGCCGTTGAGGTTAACCAATCGAGTCATGCCAAGGGATGTCAATCATCGGCGCTGATGCTCGCAGCTGCGCGCATGCGCAGTTGTTTGTTTTCGCGGAGCCTCTATTAGGCTCTGGAACTACATGAAAACTGAACAAAGAATTCTGAACATCCGCGCTGAGGTACTTATGTATATTCTGAACCTATATCCATAATCAGATCCTCTGCAGATGTGTCCTATAATGTGTAATTCATGATAATAGCACTTCCTGGTTTGCCACGATCGCTTTTTTGTGTGCATAAAAACATATTTTTTTTCATTAAAACGTTCACAAATAATTCTGAAAACCTCTGTGCATGTGTATTAATAATGTATATGTATAATATGTTCTCTGATTAACATTTCAAAGTGTTACGGAAACGTAGGTGTAGACCAATCAGAAAGGAAGGGGGGGGGGGGGGGGGGGGGGGGGGCTTGCGTCGTTTTTTTTTCAAATCAAGTACCTCTCTGTCTCTCTTTCTGATAAACTCCAGACAATCACTTTAATTGTGTCTTTGGTCTCTTCAGATTCAACTACTGCTGCTACTCAAATAACAGATTATTCAATATGATCTTTTTAGCATTTCTTGTTTTGTAGATTGAGAAAATATTCTGTTTAACCAGTACCAGGTACTTCTCTGGTAGCTGGTGGCTCTGGTTCTCATCATAGAGGACGCTTCTTTGGGGAGGTGTTCTGGGCACGTTCCACCAAGAGGAGACCAGGGTAAGACCCAGGACACAAAGGGACTGTGTCTTTCAGCTGGCCTGGGAACACCTCAGGATTCCCCCAGATTAGCTGTAGAAAGTGTGTGGAGAGGGAGGTCTGGGCGTCTCTGCTTGGACTTGCCGGATGGATGGATATTCTGTTCCAGTCTACAAATACTAAATGCTATTCTCTACTACTACTTACTATATACCACATGCAATACATCTGTCAGTGCACCACCATGGCCACAATAGATCTCGTTTTCTAATCCTTTCTTGTATCTTGTTTAAATCATATTTCATCTTCTCTTCTTTCCGTACAATATAGATCAGGGGTAATATGTGTGTGTTACTGCTCGCAAAGGCCAAAAGGAGCCACGCTTAGAATCAAAAACCTCAATCTCGCAGAGCAGCTTCGCACGGAACCCAAGTCTTATCCTAAACTAGCTATTGATTCTTGTGCGGCTAATGCGATTGAACAGCTGTAAATCACCAATTCTCTCTTTTTTTCTCTGTAAATCGGAAGATTGGATTGACGCACACACTCAAACGCACTAGGCTTTATACTGGCTTGTTTCAGGGGCCACTGCTGATAGAATAGAGCTGGAGAAATTGTTTTTTGGTTGAATGCGAGGTCGTCAAAGTCTCGCTGGGGGCCACAAAGAGCGTTGGTGGCAGGGTATGTCCAAAAGCTAAGTCCTATTCGAGACACGGAAGCGAAGGCGAGATAGCTGAGATTATTCCAGCCTTTATGTCCATTGTTGCAAAGCTAAATGATAAGATGGCCATCCCATTTCCCCAAGGATTTCATTTGTCTGAGCTCAAGACATCACCAGCGATGTGGAGAAAAACTACTTTAATTCTTTCTTTTGTAGGTTCTAAAGCCATTTCCTCCTCATCCCCTCCTCCTACCCATCAAGAAGGATTGTGGGTAAATCCTGCCTGATAAAACCATTGGTTTGATATAGAGCTTTTTTGGACATTCAAGCATAGTTGTAGTAGTAGTAGTAGTAGTAGTAGTAGTAGTAGCAGTACTAGTAGTAGTAGCAGTTGTAGTAGTAGTAGAAGTAGTGTTAACATAAGTGGTAGTTGTAGTCGTAGAAGTAGTAGTAGTAGTAGCAGTACTAGTAGTAGTAGCAGTTGTAGTAGTAGTAGAAGTAGTGTTAACATAAGTGGTAGTTGTAGTCGTAGAAGTAGAAGTAGTAATAGTAGTAGCAGTAGCAGTAATAGTTGATGTAAACAAGTGGTTGTAGTAATAATAATTTAGGCACACTGACAGAAGCGAAGCAACCAATATGTGGCATCGGCCCCTCCAACCACCACCAACCGTTCACCCACATTGCCAAGAACAAGTCTGTGGTATGAGTGTCTTGCGTAAGGACACAACGAGTAGTAGTAGTAGCAGTTGTAGTAGTAGCAGTAGTAGTAGAAATATATGCAGCAGTAATAGTATTGACAAGAGTGGTAATAGTAGCTTAGAAATAAAAACAGTTGGAGATTTGACAATTTCAGAAAAATACAAAATAGAATATGTCAAAACAAATTCAGTTTTTTCCTCAAAATTGTATCTTGGTCTAAATATAAAGTATTTTCATCACCGTGCAGGCCTCTGAAAGCCAAGGTGATTCATAAAAAAAGTCATCATTATAGCTTGGTGAATTGCGCCCTCTTGTGGACTTTGCAGCTGACAGCAAGTCAGGTTAGTACAACGATATCATATTGTTTTGATATAATGTTCATGATATAGTAGTATGAATACAAAATAACTACATCATGAATAATTATGCACAGAATGTTAAAATTAGGTAATTGGAGTGATTGTAATAAGCAGGAGTGATTCCGATTGTAGTTGGGGCAGTAGTAGTAGTAATGAAAAAAACAGAAATATGGATTTCTAGTTAGTGTACTTAACTAATGATCGAAGGGTACACGGATTTTGAAGCATAAAGGATTAATTTTTTAATTCAAGTTTAGGAAAGGAAAAGAACAATAAACGAATGGAAATTTTGATTTTCTGATTTTATTTTGAAACGGAATAACTAATGATCGAAGAGTACACGGATTTAACTTATTATAATCCTTTTATTATTTCGTATTTAGTATAATTAGATTTGTGTATATAGTGTGTATGATATAAAAACAATAAGGCAATTTACAATTTAATATATTTTGTATTTTTTATCCAGTCACTGTAGTCGAGACAAGATCTCTCTCGAACAGTCGATCCCAGAGTATCGGATCGTGTTGTCTAACCACTGAAGGACACAGCTCTGTACATGTACGCACAACGGAACCTCTGCGTGGGGATAATGACTCACACATCTCAGGACACATCTACGGACACACATCCAAGCACTTTCTACTTCAGACACTGCACTTATTAGGGTTTAGGTTCAAAGCGCTTATGCTAACAAGCTAGCTCCTCGTTCAACTCTGTCCAGTACCTGCGTCTGACGAGTCTCTGCTCGGTCACTGCCTTTAATTGGAAGGTAAGAACTGACAATGTTTACACATTTTATCGCTGATCATTTTGACAAAAAGTCCATGTTGAGTTGAGAGCGTCCAGTTGTTCGTAGAATTTAAGTCATAATTTTTAATAAAGCCACTCTTGAGTCTATTTTAACTATAAATCTTTTCATGAATGCAGGGATGCTGTATTGTAATGTTATTATAGACTGTAATGGTATGTGGCTAAATATAGCACAACGTGGTATTAGCATCACATAAATATAGCACAACACAGTATTCTCGTGTTACACAGTTAGTTAACGCTACGTGTTAGCCTATCGTCTTATCAATATATATTTTGCATTGTCATTCCCCATTTCGCCATTTTCTCTTAAAACGTGACATTTCTCGTTATGTTTATAGAATTTGGGATTATTGTTTTTTGTGACGTGCAGCGTCATGTTATATTTGCCGTGACTCAGCTTGTTAAAGAAGCTATACCCGATTTTTTTTCTAAGTAGTTCATAAAAATGCTTTTTACTACATACAAGTTGTATCATAATACATCATTTAATTGAAAACTTGAGGTAATTGATTCAGCTGTGTAAGAATTACAAGCAGTGAAAAGTGCTGAGTAGAGTCTGAGCGGGCCGCTCTTTCTCCTCCGCTCACAGAACGAGCAGCGAGCAGCCTGCGTCCTCTAGCCTCTACAGCGCTGCTTAACACCAGGGCTTCGACTTCAAAATTCGAATATAAATTCTAAAATAAAAAATGATGAACAAAATAATTGAATAAAAAAATGTGAACAAATATTAGACAACCCTTGTAATTCGAAATGTATTTAATGACTGCAAATAAAAGAGTTAGCTCCCAAAGGTTTCACCGGGACGTGCTAGGCAGGTAACAGCTAAGCTAGCTAGTTGTTTCATGGTAACTTCCGGGTTTTTCGCAATCGCTTTTTGTCACTTTGAAACAGTATTTTTGTTATGAAAACGTTAACAGCAAATTCTGAAATCATCCGTGCATGTGTGTTAAGGATGTATATGTGTACTGTATTGTCCGATTGACGTTTAATGGTGTTGATTGATAGATATGTAGTTGTTTATTGAGCGTGGCTAGCTCCGTTGGCTTCTCTACACAGACGAGTGATAGTGACAGGTGCTGATAGCTTGTTGTACTTGCGGAGTAATGGCAGTATTTTACACACCTGAATTACAAACAGAGGTTGCATTGGGGCTTCGGTCATTATTGGTTTGAGAGTTCTGTTATCAAGAAAAAATTATCGGAAGAATTGCTGCTGCTGCTTTGAGGAGCTCTATAACAAATTATAATTCAATATTAGAATATATTCTAAGGTTTTAAATTAATACATTCGGACGCAAAACTAGCGGTATTCTTTTACTTATATATTGTGTTAGCAGTGCGTTGCTTTAGTGCCATTTCATCGGTGATTGTTGCACAGCTTACAAGAAGTTGCGCTAATGCTAATGTTTGCATATTTATCAGATCGCAAATAAAACTAGGTGGCTCTGTGTTATGAGAGCGTAGGGGAAATAAGAAGCCATTGAGTGAGTTGGGGGGCGGTGCTAAACATTCAAACATTGCAGAAACGGGTATAGCGCCTTTAAAGCAACTCTTGAAGGATGACGAAGCACTTTTGTATTTGCTTCTTGGCAAGGCAAGGCAAGTTTATTTGTATAGCACAATTCATACACAAGGCAACTCAAAGTGCTGAACAAGATAGCATTAAAATCATAAATAATTACAGAACATTAAAACGAAAGATAAAAATATAAAATCCCTCAGTTGTATGCACAGCTAAACAGCACCGTTTTTAACCTGGTTTTAAACATTGTCGGAGAGGAGGCCTGTCTCACATCTTCAGGAAGATTGTTCCAGATTTTAGCAGCATGAATCTGAAAAGCAGCCTCCCCATGTTTAGTTCTGACTCTGGGCACTAACAGGAGTCCAGTCCCTGTGCTCCTCAGAGTCCGGGCTGGTTCATATGGGACTAACATGTCACTAATATATTTTGGTGCGAGGCCATGGAGAGACTTGTACACAAGCAGAGCTGTTTTAAAGTCTATTCTCTGAGCCACAGGAAGCCAGTGCAGAGACCTGAGGACTGGACTAATGTGCAGGGACGTGCGGTGAGGTTTGTGATTGGGGAGGCACTGACTTTAAAAGTCAGATTTACAATCATTATTCAAATAAAATAGCATTTAATCACCAATGCAATGACATCCACAAACTTTATATACTGTAAAGATAAGAGAACCAGCTTCTTTTAATAATCTCACAACAAATCTAGCTGCTGACTCTGCTCCGCATCAAACAACATCTTTAAGAAGCGCAGGTGCGAGAGACGCAAGGAGAGAGAGACGCGAGGAGAGAGGAGCAGAGAGAGACAGAGAGGAGCAGAGAGACGGAGACGCGAGGAGCAGAGAGAGACGGAGACGCGAGGAGAGAGAGACGCGAGGAGAGAGAGACGCGAGGAACATAAACAATAATTTAAACAAGTTGCAGAACTCTTGAGCAGTGTTTGAATCAGTGTTTTTCGGAAAAGCACTACTTTGCCGGTATCTGTCAATGTTCAACATAAAACACAGATTAACAAACTCCTCCCCCGCAGCCGGACTAACCTCGTAAGTCCAGTGGTGCAGTGTTGCCAACTCCTCAGTAAGGAAAGTAGCTATTGGCTGTCCCAAAAGTCGCTAGAAGTCGCTAAATGACGTCATCGCCTAATTTGCATAATTTGCAATTTGCAAATAACTGTAACGGACGCTGTAGGAGAGAGGAATAAGGTCGTGGGAGAGACAAAAGTGAGTAAAAACACCCTAAATATGTTTAGAACTACAAATGTACAAAAATAATTTCAACATTAACAACATTTAATGATTTTAATGCTTTGTCTAGATCCACATTACACACATCAGTTTTGTCCTGTATTGTTAAATGTTATAACAGCAAATGTAATCAAAAGATTGTTATGTAGGGTGAAATTGCTAGCTCTACAACCAACCCTCCTCCTTTATCCGGGCTTGGGACCGGCAAAGTGACCCAAAAGACACACTCTGGCAGAGTTACTTAGGTTTATTTTTGTAAGTTTTTTTTTTTTTTTTTCATAGTTTGGCATAACAAATGATTTAATGTGACCCACTACTGAGAGAAAACAGAGTCACGGACAGAGCTGCCGCGGATGGAGTGGGGGGTAGTGGGGGGTGGCGGTGGTAGGAGTGGCCGGGGAGCTTTGGATGTGTGGTGGTGGTGGAGCTGAAGTTCAGTCTGCAGCAGCCTGAAAACTCCCTGTGCTTTTGAGTCTCCTCTCTCTCTCTCTGCTCCGCCCATAGACTGTAGCTGGGACTGCTGCGCAAGGCTACTGTGAGACTGGCCGCCTGTAGTGCTTTGGGACGGGGGAGGGGCTCACGTTGAGGACAGCAGAACAATACGTGCTTCACAAGTCTCCAAAACACCAGATAAGTCGCCAAAACACCAGATAAGTCGCCCAATAACACCAGAAAAAGTCGCTAGATTTGTCGCTAGTCGCTTTTTTGAAAAAAAGTCGCTATAGGGGTCTGAAAAGTCGCTAAATCTAGCGACAAAGTCGCTAAGTTGGCAACACTGCAGTGGTGGTCTCCCAGTCTATATTAATTCTTTCTTTGTTTGAAAGTCCAATTGAGAAAAAAAATCTTCATTCAAATCATCCATTTTCCAGCAAAAGAAATAGCATTTTGGGCTGATTGTTTGTTAGCAACTCTGGTATGAACTTTATGCTCACTATCACCCCTAGCGGTGAGGCACAGATACCGCCTGCCTCACGCCAAGCTTTTTCCTTGTGTGTTCATCTACAATCAAAAGACTTAAACTAAATATAAATTGTACACACATACGTGCAATACACTACTAAACACTAAGAGGAGTTTAAAAAATGTTTTTAAAGCAGGATATTTGAAACAAACGGTGATATATCAACTGCACGAGCTGAGTGCACTCAGACACACACACACACACTGTGAGGGAGCGGTCTGGGGTGAGGCACGCAGGAGCGCTGCCTCACCTCGTCTCTTTGAATAGGAATAACGGGATTTCGGCGATTTTGACTTCAGAAATGATCAAAACTGATGGGAACCGTGCCGAATATACATTAAAAGCATAGGACAGTGGATATAAATTATATATTTAAACTAAAATAATTATTAGTTTCCAATAATGGCAGGTGAGGCTCTGCCTCCCCTGCCTCCCCTGACTGCACGTCCCTGCTAATGTGGTCGTACTTCCTGGTTCTAGTCAGGACTCGAGCTGCTGCATTTTGAATGTACTGCAGCTGTTTTACAGCCTGTTTGGACAGACCTGTGAGCAGACCATTGCAGTAGTCTAACCTACTGGAGACAAATGCATGGATAAGAATCTCCAGGTCTGCTTTAGACACTATGTTTTTGATCCTGGCAATATTTTTTAGATAGTAAAAAGCTGCTGATGTTACTGATTTGATGTGGCTATTAAAATTTAAGTCTGAGTCCAGTATTACCCCTAGATTTCTGACCTTGTTTGAAGGTTTTAGGGAGAGAGACTGTAGATGACAGATGACGCTCTCTCTTTGTTTCTGGGGACCAAAGACAATCATTTCAGTTTTGTCTGCGTTTAGCTGAAGGAAGTTGTTTTGCATCCACTCACTGATCTGTTGGATACAGTGAAGGAGTGAGTCCACTGGTCCATGTTCTCCTGCAGTCAGTGAGACATAGATCTGAGTGTCGTCTGCATAGTTATGATAGGAAACTTTGTTTCTGCGTATTAACTGACCTAACGGCAGCATGTAGAGATTGAACAGAAGAGGTCCCAGGATCGACCCCTGTGGGACTCCACAGGTCAGGGCCATATGATCTGAGACACAGTTTCCAATCTCCACAAAGTATTTCCTGTCTTCAAGGTAAGACCTAAACCAACTTAGGGCGGTGCCAGCGACGCCAACCCAGTCCTCTAGTCTCTGTAAGAGGATCTCATGGTCGACAGTGTCAAAGGCAGCACTTAGATCTAACAGGATTAGGATTGAGACTTTGCCTGCGTCAGTGTTCAGCCGGATATCATTTGTAACCTTGACGAGAGCAGTCTCAGTGCTGTGGTGGGGTCTAAAGCCGGACTGAAACATATCAAATGAGTTGTTGATTATAAGAAATCTAGTAAGCTGTAGGTAGACAACTTTTTCAAGGACTTTCCCCATAAATGGCAGATTTGAGATGGGACGATAGTTGTTAAGTACCGTAGCATCCAGACTGCTCTTTTTTAGCAGGGGCCTGATGACTGCAGTTTTCAGGGCCTTTGGGAATATTCCAGAATCAAGGGACATGTTTACTATCTGTGTGAGTGAAGGTAACAGACTGCTCAGAACAGACTTTAGAAATATAGTGGGTAGTACATCCAGGCTGCATGTGGAGGAGCTCAAACTGGAGATTATCTCTTGGACAGTTTGATCATTTATAGGTGCAAAGTGAGTTAGCTCAAAGAGCCTTTCTGGCTGTTGGATGGTTATCTGTGGATTGGAGACAATGGCGTTTTTGATGCCTTGAACCTTGTCATTGAAAAAATGTGCAAACTCATTACATTTACGTTTGGAAGTTAGCTCTAATGGCATTTGAACAGGGGGGTTTGTTAATCTATTAACTGTTGAAAACAGAACACGCAGATTGTTGCTGCAGCCTTCAATCATTTCAGAAAAATACCTTTCTCTCGTACTATGTAGCACCTGGTTAAACTCGCACAACTTATCTTTGAAGATCTTGTAATCAACCTGGAGGTTGGACTTGCGCCACTTCCGCTCGGCCCTCCGGCACTCTCTTTTGTGCCCTGACCGAGTCTGCTTTAGCCCACGGCGCCTTCTGCTTATTTTTTACTATTTTAACCTTCACAGGAGCGATGGTGTCCAGAACTTTCAAAACACTAGAGGTGACAGAGTTAAACAGTTCATCTACAGTAGAATACGATGCATTCTTGTGTTGAATATAAATAAATACATATTGTAATTATAACTATGACTGGTATTAGTTGCACACTAATTCTGCTACTGTAATAGAAAGTATCAAGACAGAACATTATTCCTATTAAGTTATAAATATATTTAACGAGTGACTAGTTAACACAAGATGACATATAGAGTTAAAACGATGGGATTTCAATTTAGTACTAACTTCAAACCAGAACATGTGTAATTTCAATGTTACTATTAGCTCCAGAGTTTTGTTATTTTATTATCGATTATCTTAAATAATTTATCCTGTTTGATGTGTCCAACCTGAGTGCTCTCATGCCCTCCTTTTATTGCTGTAATGTGTGCAACGATGACACATTTTCCCACTGTATTGTGGAATGACGGCTTATCTTGCATTTCCTGTGTTCGAACTGATTGATTCTTTGATCTGTTGTTGGTGACTGTTTAGTAAAGTCCTCCAAGTCAACTACTGTTATTTCTTTTATATTTAGAGCTGGACACAGATAGATTGAATTGATTTGTTCTAACCTCCAACCTTCCTCCTACAGCCACAGCCATGACGTTGCACATACAGAGCTACTGCGAAACGAACACTTCCATCTCCAGAACCTGGCTGGACCAGGGCCTGTCCCCCTGCTTCTACTTCACCCTGGTCCCCTCTGTTCTGTTCTCGGTCTCCTTTTTCCTTGGGACTCTGCACTGCGTTTTCTACCAGAAATATGGCACGCCCATGGAGCCAAAGTTCAGACCTCGCTCCTGCCTGTACATCTTACAGCTATCTCTCTCCGCAACGGTTTTGATCCAGTTTGTTGGATTGGTTGTGTGGAGAGCAGCGAGTGGCGTGGAGCTGCCCGGATATGTCGTGCTGTATGGGATTTTTAATGTGATCGTCTGGGGATGGGCGATCGCTTTGCTGAGGATCGAGCGGAGAAGAGCCTTGCTCATGGACAGGACCAGGGGCCATAGCGCGGTGCTGCTGCTGATCTGGGCCTTGGCTTTCGCTGCTGAGAATTTGGCGTTTGTGTCTTGGTACAGTCCGCATTGGTGGTGGAGCATCGACACAGCCAAACAGCAGGTACGAGAGAATTCCATGCCTTGAAAGTACACTGTATAATTTTTACTCCCATCTAGCGTTGAGATCTTGTATTGCAGTCCATTGTACTATGGAAGCCTTCGATGGACATTGTGCAGTCTTTAACAGTGCTCCCAAACTCTGTCATTCACCAGACTGCGAAGGAAAGAATTTAGTTTGATATATGACCTGATCTCTCCATATATCTTCGTAGGGCTGGGCAATAAATCGAATGTAGGCAATTTATTGGCTTTTGAAAAAATCGAATTTGTGAACAATTTGAAAATTGTGAAATCGAATGAATGTGAGAATTCCAGCAGCACATGAATTATACTTGTAATATCAGCACAGTCTGTACAAGACTTTTTAATACGTATTGGGGGAAACAATAAAAATGGTTTTGAAACTTGAATATTGAGCTGAAAGATCAAAAAATATTTAAGGGCATACTTGAATGAAAATCGATTTAAAATCGAAATTGTCCAAAGCAGGAAATAAAATTGAGATTTGACTTTTTTGCCATATCGCCCAGCCCTATGTCTTTGTCAATTGACACAGTAGCGATGAGGCCGACGTGTAAACAAGACTGTGTTCTGAAGCGGGAATTGCTGCACAGAGGCTACAGTCTATGGTTTTACCATGGATATATTACAATATATAGTTTTACAAACCCAGTGTGAAGAGAAGAGACGCCTGGACGAATAATGTCTGTGGGAGCATGAAACCATGCTTATCCAAGAATACACACAGCCTAAAAGCTCATATTAGCCTTAGTGTTAGCCACGGCACCGCATCTACATAACGATATGAAAAAAGAACATTCACTCATGCTGATAAAGTATTCCGGTGATTGTTTTGCGTATTCAAGGCCACACAGTTTTCTTTGAGATTGTTGTTCGGGTCGTTCTTTGTGGTCCTCCATGATCCCTTCCTCAAACGTGTGAGGGCACGGTGAAGGCAACGATATTACTAGCACCTGTGAAACAAAAACGTGATTCTCGCATCCTTTTTGTCCCTTTCATTAGTTTTCCCTCTAGCTTTTCATGGGTCTGAGCAACAACACAAACCCCCAATGCAGAACCTGGGGGACTCTGAGCAAGAGATCACTGTTGAAAACTATTCACATTTTGATACACCTGCTGTATACACCTGTTGTATTCACCTGCTGTATACAACTGCTGTATACACATGCTGCCATCTATTTTATTTAATTTACTTATTAAGTTATTTAAGTTGCCAACAATGATTTGGTTCATTATTTGGTTGCATCTGATTCAAAGTCTCTTTATAGATTGTGAAATAAAGTAGTGTTTTGAATATATTTGGCAAGTTGCACTAAAAACAAACAATACTAAAAGAGAATATTGCCTTTCCATATTAATTGTATAGAGTTAGAGTCTATATGAAAAAATTCTATACATTGTTTTATTTAGTCATTTGGCATTATAACTCAAAATGCATAGATCAATTATCTAAGGATAATAACAGTCATATTTCCTCAAAACCAACTTTACTCAGCAATAGGCAACTTCGTGCTGAACTGAAGGGGGCGCTGGTCCGACCAACAAAGTTACTTCTTAACATTAGTGAAAAGATTAATAATAGCAATTTGAACAAATAGACAGACATAAGCAGGAATCTCATGTTCATCAGACTCAGGTCTACCTGCATAAGTGCGTGCGCGTTAGGAATGTGTAGCTCCACGCATACACTCGCAGATCCACCGCAGTCCATACACTATAGAAATACTTGGCCACGTCGTTGGACACTGGAGTTTTCCGTTTGCTGGGACCAGGCTGAGACACAAAAGACTGCATATTTGCACACACACGCAGCTTAGAGGAAACACTGCTTATCAACCAATGCATTTCAAGATGGCGCATTGACATGGATGGTCTTTATTATTATTATCTCAGTCAAATTCTAAGCCTATGAAAACAAATAAAAAACATGGTGGAGGTAAATATTCTTTAAAAAGCCGCATTTGTTATTAGTTAACATGTTTTTTTTCATTTGGAGCAACTGTGAAAATTACACAGGGTACCTTTAAGGCCTGTGTATACTCAGGTGTCACTGTCTGCGTTGGCATTTGCGCTGGACCGTTTTTTGTATACGAGTGTGTGTGGGATTACATTCTCTAGTTTTGAAGAGAATGTAATCCCACACCCCAACCACATGATGGCGGTCTTGCAGGAAATTGCCTGGGACACCAAAGCGGCCCCATTATAAAGTTAAAATGTGGAATATTTTTACATTTAAAGCTGGGGTAAAGGGTACGTAAAATCCTAAAGCAAGTTCCTCTATCTCAAAACAGTTTGGTTAGGGTTAGCCAAACCCTCATAACCCACTTTGTCTAGTTTTCGTTTATTTTTGATATTGCAAAGACTGTATTAAAATCTCATTTTTTGACATTCTGGTGTTCTACATCCTATCCTCATCCTTCTGCTGCAGGTGGAGTTCGGCCTGTGGTTCGTGAGGTTCTTCTGCACCGCTCTCCTCTTCTTCATCGGACTCAGAGCTCCAGGTTTACCGCGGAAACCATACATGCTACTGATCAATGAGGACGAGCGTGACGTGGAGCAGGTCTGAGACAGAACCACAGACTACACTAGGGCTGGGATAAACGATTATTTTTTAAACGATTAATCTAGCGATTATTTTTTCGATGCATCGATTAATCTAACAATTTATTTTTTCAGTTCGATTCGATTTCGATTTGATTATCTCCCCATTAATTGACTAATAGTAATGTATACATTGTGTGTTGATTTACATATCTGAATGAAAAAACATGCATTCCTTAAGTAAGGGATAACGTATATGACGCAGGTCATTATCGGAAAATAAGTACCGACAGGGCGAAGCGGACCCCGACGCGCACTTAAACAAGTACTGAAGGTACTTATTTTCCGATAATGACCTGCGTCATATACGTTATCCCGCTTATCATACGGCTTTATACCAACAGAACACACAACATAAACTTCAGTCCACTTTTAGGAATGCCGAGAGGTTTATTTAATGACAGAAAATAAAATAGTTCCCAAAGGCATTCCCGTGGCTATGCTAGCAACAGTTAGACTAATAACTCCCAAACTAGAACTCCCTGGAACTGCATGAAAACTGAACAAAGAATTCTGAACATCAGCGGTGAGTGACCCAAACATTAACCTAACCTAAATCCATAATTCGATCCTCTGCAAATGTGTCCGAAAATGTGCCGGTATCTACATTTAGGTTTTTCGGGATCGCCTTTTCTCGCATTACATCGTTTTTGTCATGAAAACGTAAACGGAAAATTCTGAACTTCCGTGCACTTGTATTGAGAATTTAATTGCGTTGATTGATTGATTGGCATTTGCGTTTATTGAGCGTGGCTAGCTCCGGAGTGGCCGGAACTACTTGCGGAGTTATCCACGCATCTGAAAGACAGCAGAGAGTGCGTTGCCATGGGCAGCGGTCATTATTGTTTTTAGAGGTCCGTTATAGAAAATAATGACTGGTAGAACGTTTTGAAATTACATTCAAATCAATGGAGCATTCTACTGCTGCTGTGAGGAGCCGTGTAATAACGAAATATATTTATTGCTCTTAAAATTCAAAAATAAGACATTCTTAGTCAAAGGTAGCATAAAACTTTGAATCCTTGAAAATACATCTAGCTTACTGAAAAAAGTGCATCTTATTATTCTTCTTTCAGATGAAAATGGCACTTGATGTTTAGCATTCAATAGAATAAAATAAAACATTTCACCCAATATACTTTTTTAGAGCAACTGAAAGAATACAGTAACCAATGTAAACTTGAGGGCTTTAAGCTGAAGAGAGGGCTTTTCTAGCATTTAGAATTCAACAATTATGTTGAACATAGGCCTAGCTATCTATCTTCATTCACAAATAACAACTTAGACTCTGACACTTTCCTTTCCCCTTAAGAATAATGTCTGTCTCTTTGTGTGTGCTTCTGCACATTTGCCTCCAGCCCGTGTTGTCATTCTCCAGTGACTAAACTAGCACAGCTAGCATGTAGCGCAGCTAGAATGTTCGCCGATCCGGAAGTACCGACTAATAATTTAATAAACTGATGGTGCACCTCCGTGAACACATACTGCTGTTATATAAAGTCTCTGGAAAGTCTCTGGACACAGAGCCGCTGCAGAGCTGCAGTATTTTTTACACAAAAAGCCGCTAGCTAAACACCGCTAGTTAAACGCTGCTAGCCCAGGACCATTGGTCTGAACACCCCAAGCCTCTGTAATTTATAGAATGTGCGTCTACTGCGCGGTCTAAACGCCCCATAAGACGGCACTCGCGTAATACTGCTACTAATTGCTGCCATCTTTGTTTTGAGTATGACGAATCGGCGTGCATATTTTGTATCGACGTATTTTTTGCCTCGACGTCATCAATTACGTCGGTGCGTTGTCCCAGCCCTATTGTACACACATGGATAATGCTAACATAGACTGTATACAGATAGACAATATAGACCACCTCTCTCCTCCTCTCTCTCCCCGTCCTAGAGCCTGTTGGGAGCAGATGGAGACAGCACCTCCACTTGGGAGGGCCTCAGACAGAAGCTGAGGCTACTGGTGCCTTACATGTGGCCCAAAGGAAACACCATCCTCCAAACTCTGGTTATGTTCTGTCTGTGTCTGCTGGGAGCCGAGAGGGCCATCAATGTCTTTGTGCCCATCTGCTACAAGAACATAGGTACAAATACACATGGTACTACACATATGCACATGGTACTGCAGTCTAGGCCAGGGGTCCCCAACTAAATTGGCAAGAGGTCCACTTACTTGATCATTTCAATAGATTAGAGTCCGGACATCATACAAATATTTGATTTAATAGAAATCCATTCATGCAATTTCTTTCATATGAAATGATTGAAATCCTTCAACAACGACTACTGTAGTAGTCAACCCAAAAAGTCAAATACTGACTTACAGGGTTCTTTCTTAAGTATGCAAAAAACAACATAGTCAGCTGCAAATATTGCTTGACCCCAATAAAATTCTAACAAAATGTTTTTCAAAGGTTTACAGTAGTATCAGATGTACTTAAAAATATATTAAAAGTTTACCAAAGTTTGACTCCAAGAAAGGCCCCATTTAATGGTCCTTAAAGGACAACTCACCCTCAAATCCACTTTTTTTTGCTGATAAACGGTATAAATGAGTGTCCAATAGTGTTGTCTACATATCTTGGACATAATCTTGTCACTTTGGTGCAAATTAGTTGAAAGTTAGACTTTCTGCCTAAAACCGTCTGTGAGGCGCCATCTGCTGGCGACCTGTATTACTACATTTGAATTTTGAATCTGGCGCCAACACTGGCACAGAAGTTGGACCTGACGTCAGCAAGTTGGACCTGACGTCAGCAGCCCCCCGCCCAGAGCAATGTAAACGGCCCAGTCTCGTTCACGCCCCCTTTAGTCCTCCAGGCTACGCCCATTTAGAGGAAGATTTTAACAGGAAATGTGAGTGACGTAAGCTCCGAGGAGCGGGGGTGAGAACCACTTTAAAATGACCATTATGGTGCGTTCAGACCAAAAGTCAACTGACGCCGGGTCATTTATGTCATTTTTGTCATTTTGATGCTTGAAGCTTTTGACGCGAGTGACACGCCTGACGCCTGTGGGAGGAGCTTCTCTGTTGCCTGTAGTCAACGGTGGATTTTCCAGAGAGCAGCGAGCTTTTATTTGTTATATAAAGCCAAATAACGTTGTCGTGGGGTTTCTACAAAACGTGTCCTGGGTTCACCACAGACTTGAGAGGCTGCAGTGTTTGCAGAGTTCCGTTATTTACTCCAGGAGCTCCGTACGGAGGAGTTTTGCTTTCAGCGGTACTTCTGCATGTCACTCGCCCAGTTTGAGTTCCCAAACCCTGGAGCTCGCCTCTCCCCACCTCGCTCTCGCCTCTCCCCTCCTCGCTCTCGCCTCTCCCTACCTCCCGCTCCTCTGCCCGCCTGGAGCTGCCTCGCTCTCCCCTCTCCCCACCTCTCGCTCGCCTCTGCCCGCCTCGCTCTCCCCTCTTCCCGCCTGGAGCAGCCTCGCTCTCGTCCTGAGCCAGACTCATCGTCAGCTTGTTCTTATATTAAATAAATTACGTTTTTTACACAGCATGTGTACAATGGTTTTGTTACTCACTTATTAAGAATGTTACTACTCATACAAATAATATTACTAATAATAATGACAATAAAGCAGCAGCAGCAGTAGTAGTTACATGACTTCTCTCCATGACAGAGACAGACCCACAGCTGCTGCTGCTGCTGCTCGTCTCCTGATTGGTTGAAGCCCCCGTCAAAGCTCCAAAAGCTCAGCTTTGTTCAGCTTCGGCGTCAAGGGATTTTTTGACGCGGAAAGAGACTCGAGCGATTTGCGCATCAAAAGCTTCTAGTGTTGCGCGTATTACTCGCGACTTTTGAAGCTTTTGACGCGCTTCACCATTCACTTTCAATGCAAACCTGACGCTTTTGACGCCGAAGTTAAGTCCGGTCTGAACGCGCCATTACTCCTTTGTATTTCTCCTAGACAAGGAATACTGGTGTCTGATGCCTGTTATGGTAATATGATATTTTAATTAGTATATTTGCATGAAACATAAGTAGAGATGCACCGATCCAGCTTTTTTACTACCAATGCCGATGCCAGACCTATGGGTATCTGCCGATACCGTTTTTTACCGATACTGGAAATGATCACACTAAAATGTATTAAATAAATGAACTCTTTGTTTTCCAAGTAACTGCAAAAGCAGTGGATGAACTAAAACTTTCCAGATAAAAATGGACATTCAACATAAATGAGCTATACTGTAACTATAAAGAGCTGCTCAATGTTCACATTAAAGCTGCACTAACTGACTTTGGGATTTTGAAGCAGCGGACTCACTGGCCTCGCTCTTTCTGCTCCCCTCCCCGCACCCACGAGCTATCGCCCCCCACACACACCCACTGCTGTTGACTGAGCTAGCGTCTCACAATATGGATAGAATTGTGTATCGTACATTTGAGCGTGGATGGCGTGACCATAGAACGATAGAACCGGGAAGCTGCTGTATAAGCAGTAACCGGTGACGAAGACACACGAAGCTTCAGGTTAGCTCCGCCGCTTGTTGTGCTAACTCAGCCGTCTATGCTAACAGACCTGTAGATTTCTCACGAAAGTGGGGGCCAGTGGTCCGCTGTGATTGGTCATAATCTGCGACCCGAAACACATTCTCTTCCTTGTTTCATCAAAACTCGATCTAAAATATAATGTCACGCCAGCACAAATCTGCGCTACTTTTTCTTCAAAAGGACGTATATCCCAATGCACTACATGGACATGGATAGCATTTTCGTAATGAATACAAAAATAAAGTCAGTTAGTGCAGCTTTAAACTTTCCAACATTGTATTATACCTTATACATTTATTGAATATAAATGCGCACATATTAAATGTGTTTCCTTGAGTCCTTCCGTTTCCTGGGCACCACCATCACCCAGGACCTCAAGTGGGAGCCGACCATCAGCTCCCTCATCAAGAAGGCCCAGCAGAGGATGTACTTCCTGCGGCAGCTCAGGAAAGCCAAGCTGCCTGCACAGATGTTGGTGCAGTTCTACACGGCCATCATCGAGTCCATCCTCACCTCCTCCATCACCGTGTGGTTCGCTGGAGCCACAGTCAGGGACAAACAGAGACTACAGCGCATTGTGCGCTCTGCAGAGGAAGTGATCGGCCGCAGCCTTCCATCGCTGCAGGACCTGTACGTCGCCCGAGCTCGAGGCCGGGCTGGTCGTATCACAGCCGACCCCTCTCACCCTGCACATGGACTATTCCAACCACTCCCCTCAGGCAGGAGGCTGCGGTCCATCAGGACTAGAACCTCCCGCCACAAGAACAGTTTCTTCCCCTCTGCTGTTGGACTCTTGAACACTTCTTAACCTGTCCCCCCGCCCTTTATAAAGTCACTTTACTGCCATCATACGTCACTTTACTTCACTGTACTGCTGTCACCTTACATTGTGTGCACCATGTGCACTTGTATATTGTAAATAGTAACTGTAACTCTATTTTAAATTTAAATTTATTCTTTAGAAGTGTTTTTTATTCTTATTTTTATTATCTCTTTTTGACTGTTGCACTGAGCCAAAGCAATTTCCAAGTCTGTGACCTCCCGTTACTTACGTTGGCAATAAAAATGATTCTGATTCTGATTCTGATTTAAATACATAAAAGACACATACAACAAACCAACACGCTGCATGTAAATGTAAATAAATGATAGCACCGTAGCTTTAACTGGATTTCAGATATGTATTTGCGCGATGGCATGATGTACCTGGGTTCCAAATAGTCGAGCAGGTTGCGAAATAAGTTTTCAACAATAGATGGCGGCTGCTAACCCAAAATGATGAACTACAACACTTTTGGCTTGTTGCTGACAGCTTTTTGTGTCAACTGTGTTTCGTTATTTTCACGTCATCTCCTTTTGCTGCAAAAACTCCCCATGCTGTTTCACGTGGTGAAGAATGGTTCACCCCAAAGATAAAACCGTACAGTAAAATCACAAAATCATGTATTCCATAAGCATGTAATAGTTTCAGTGCATTTTAGACAAGTCCAATGGATTCATAGACTCAGAAAACATGGGGTTAGACCCCAAGATTACTTGGCTAGGTCAAATAATGAACGAGTTAGGATGTTGCTTTGACAACAGCGCAGAGTGTGCAGCCGTAGCGTGACCATGTGACCAATCCTAACCCGGTAGCTAAATGATGCCTAAAGTTTGTCTTTATCTCGCTCTTCCTCCTTTTGACTTGAAAGTAAACTCCTTTAGATCAGAAAAAACTAGTGCTGTCCAACGATTAAAATATTTAATCGCGATTAATCGCATGAATTTCATAGTTAACTCACGATTAATCGCAAATTAGTCACACATTTGCGTGCTGTGTGCAATTGCTTTTTTTATTGAAAACAATGTGTAGTGTTATATTACACACTAACATTTGATGCAAAATCATCAATAAATGGATGACAAAATAAATAATTGGTAACAAAAAGCCCCTTCAATGTGTGTGTGTGGGTGTGTGTGTGTATGTGTGGGTATAGACCATAGACTGTATAGAAACAATCTGTAAATATTTTGTAAATTTGTTCATGTAAATACTCTATGCTGTTTCTCTGTTTACCTTCGGTATATCTATGACTGTATACTGTTTGCTTGTATTGCCTTTTTTATTAACCCCTCCCCCATCTCCCACTTCATGTCCCCCCCCCCCCCTCCCCTCCTATGTGCCCTTCTGGGTTTCTTCTTTGGCCCCCTGTATCTCCAACTACATATTGTTTGTAATCTCTGTCTACAATGTATCTGAACTAGTCCTTTTCTTTGTTTCTATGTGTTTGTCTGCAATAAAAAGTAAAAAAAAAAAAAAAAATCATTTTTTTTTTTTTTTTTTTTTATTATTATCGCGCGATAAAAAAAATGACGGCGTTAATATTGATTTGCGTTAACGCTTAAATAACGCGCTATTTTGGACAGCCCTAGAAAAAACATTTGTCTGACACTCACCATTTTGGGCTTAAATACTCCACAGTTTAGCATGCTCTCTCCTCTCTCTCTGTCTCTCCAGCCCCCCTCCCTCTTTGATCCTGATGTTTATATCTCAATGTTCTTCCTGATCCTGATCTTGTTCCTCAGTGAATGCCTTGACCCAGCACAACCCCTGGAGCTCGCTGGCCAGCATCGTCTGCATTTACGTCCTGCTGAAGCTGCTGCAGGGAGGAGGAGCAGGTGAGGGAACCTGCAATTTAATTATCCTGGCCCAATTTTATTTTGTTGAACAACACGCATGTAAACCTGTGCTGTGATTGAGATGAGAAAAGCTTGTTTGTTTCGCGTAGAGATAAGGCCAGCAGGTGCATTTAAGAGCGCAGGGAAAAGCCATGCCTGTTTTAGAAATGTGTGTATGACTCATATGGGCCACTCCCTCATGTTCACCATTGTGTTGAAGCACATATCACCCAGCTCCATCACACCAGAGTGGTTGGACTGGTTCGGGAGAAACAACATTCTTTAGCATACTCTGATATACTTCCATCCATCCATCCATTTTCTTCCCTTTAATCCATTTCTGGGTCAGGGGGGTGGCAATCAGAGATGCCACCCAAGTCTCATAGCACCAGCCCCTCACTGACCCTCTGCAGGTGGTGAGTCCACAGGAGGACGGCTGCTCTCTGAGTGTGAGCATAGCCTTGATCTTTCAGTGGGGGCTTTGGGCAAAGTGGGGTTAAGTGTCTTGCCCAAGGACACGACGACAGCAGTCATCAGTGGGAGTCGGAGAAGGTGCAGAGGTGGGAATTGAACCCACGACCTTCTGGGCTTAAGGCCAATGCTCTACCAACTGAGCTACTGTCGCCCCCATATACATGGGGGCGACAGTATCTGATATACTTATGCTTTGTAAATGTACTCACTTGAATGTAACACAAATACACCTGGACCTAATGTGTGTGCCTCTCTCTCTCTGTGTCTCTCTGTGTGTGTGTGTGTGTGTGTGTGTGTGTGTGTGTGTGTGTGTGTGTTTGTATGTCTATCTCTCTCCCTCTCTCTTTCTCTTTCTCACTGTATCCAGGCTCATCAGGTCTGGTTAGTAACCTGCGTTCCTTCCTGTGGATCCGTGTGCAGCAGTTCACTAACCGCGTGGTTCAGTTGCGTCTGTTTGGTCACCTCCACTCGCTGTCGCTGCGCTGGCACCTGGGACGCAAGACCGGGGACGTGCTCCGCAGCATCGACCGTGGCACCAGCTCCATCAACTCCCTGCTCAGGTCAGGGCTGCGACTGGGGCTGAGGCTGACAACTGTTACCACAAAAACATTCAATTCAATGTATTCTTGTATAGCCCTAAATCATATCAGCAGTTATCTCGGAGGTCTTTTCAAAACCGTTGAATTTGCCAACCCAGATCAGAGACTTAAGCAGTTTAAACACAGGAAATTCAATGATAAAAAATAATAATAGAGAAATTGGTCCATAAGGGGCAGATGAGCAATAACCATGAATGTTGTTGAATGTCAAGTGTCCTGGATCATCACCACTGTCCTTGGACCCTCCTGCATCAGCAAGTACAATTCTTAAAAACCCAGTGGGAGAAAATTACATGTGCCAAATCCTCTACTTTACAGTCTATGGTTGCAACATAAGCTCAAAGCCTAGCCTTGTTTCCACCGGCCCTACCCTACACTATTCTTCTCTACTCAGCTTGTTTTTATGTTCTATGTTAAGTGATTCAGTGTTGAAGTTTGTCTAATCTGTTTTATATTCCAGGGATTAGAAGTAGTTGTATACATCAACAATTTATTTTGAGGCCCCAACCTCCTTTAAAAACAGGTTGGAAGTCATAGTTTACATCAAAAGTAGGGTTGGCGGCCTGAGTACGCATAAATAAGATGGTTTGAGTCCCCAGTACACATCAAAAATTGGGATAAAAGTTAACCGATCTTTAAAAGAGGCCTCAGTATACATGTATTCGTAATGTGGCTTTGCTGCAAATGGCAATTAAACTGAATCTATATACATCAAAATATACATCAAAATAGGGTTGGAGGCCTGGTATGTTTTACCTTTTTGATGTATTGTGAGTATTATGATTTGAATGCCTTGTTTGACTTTAATATTTCTATCTTGTTTTGTTAAGTACTTTTGAGTCGCACAAATAAACTTGCCATGATGACACTCACGCAATTGTCTCGTATGTGACTAAAGTGTGTTATGTTGCAGTTACATCGTGTTCAGCATCTTCCCAACCATCGCGGACATCGTCATCGCCATCATCTACTTCATCACCAACTTCAATGCCTGGTTCGGCCTCATCGTCTTCGTCTGCATGACGCTGTACTTGAGTGAGTCCTGTTTGTGTGAGTGTGCGTGTGTGTGTGTAGTCTGTGTGTGTATGTGTGTAGTCTGTGTGTGTAGATATCACTTTTGGAATTTGATTTAATACCTATTAATTGATGTAAGGATGCATTTTTTGCTTTTTTAAAGACACCTAGGAGTTATAATCTAGTTTAATAACAATCAAAATGATAGCTGTATCTTCTGATTTATAAGCCGTTTCCACCAGCTCTGCTCTTCTCTAATTCTCTATTCTCTTCTATACTCAACAAAAATATAAATGCAACACTTTTGTTTTTGCTCCCATTTTCATATAGATATATCATCATATCATATCATATAGATATCATATCATATAGACTTAAAGATCTAAAATTCATTTGATACACAATATTACCATTCCTCTCAAACATTGTTCACAAATCTGTCTAAATGTGTGATAGTGAGCACTTCTGCTTTGTTGAGGTAATCCATCCCACCTCACAGGTGTGCCACATCAAGAGGCTGATCTGACATCATGATTAGTGCACAGGTGTGCCTTAGACTGTCCATAATAAAAGGCCACTCTGAAATGTGCATTATTTTGCTTTATTATTATATTTATTTCGTATACGCCGGTCAAGCACATCCCAAGCATGCTCAATGGGGGACATGTCCGGTAATATGCTGGCCATGCAAGAACTCGGGACATTTTCAGCTTCCAAGAATTGTGTACAGATCCTTGCAACATGGGCTCGTGCATAATCTTGCTGAAACAAGAGGTGATGTTCATGGATGCACAACAGTGCCATCAATAAAATGCACTTGTGTTCTCCGACCATAACAGATGTCTGCCCATACCATAACCCCACCACCACGGACCACTCGATCCACAACATTGACATCAGCAAAGCGCTCACCCATACGACGCCACACACTGTCTGCCATCTGCCCTGAACAATGCAAACTGAGATTTATCCGTGAAGAGAACATGTGAGCATTTGCCCGCTCAAGTCTGTCACGGCGACGCTGGAGTCAGGTCAAGACCCCGATGAGGACGACGAGCTTGCAGTTGAGCTTCCCTGAGACGGTTTCTGAAAGTTTGTGCAGAAATTGTTTGGTTATGCAAACCAATTGTTTCAGCAGCTGTCTCAGTGGCTGGTCTCAGACAATCTTGGAGGTGAACCTGCTGGATGTGGAGATAAGATAAGATAGACTTTATTGATCTCACACTGGAGAAATTTACAAGGGCCTGGGCTGGTGTGGTTACACGTGGTCTGCGTTTGTGAGGCCGGTTGGATGTACTGCCATATTCCCTGAAACGCCTTTGGAGACAGCTTATGGTGGAGAAATGAACATTCAATGCAACAGATCTGGTTGACATTCCTGCTGTCAGCTAATTGCACGCCCCCTCAATGCTTGTGGTATCTGTGGCATTTTGCTGTGAGACAGAAGTGCACATTTCAGGGTGGCCTTTTATTGTGGACAGTCGAAGGCACACCTGTGCACTAATCATGTTAGATCAGCATCTTGATGAGGCACACCTGTGAGGTGGGATGGATTATGTCAGCAAAGCAGAAGTGCTCACTATCAAATATTTATACAGATTTGTGAAATGTTTTGAGATAAATGGTAATATTGTGTATCTGGAATGAATTTTAGATCTTTAAGTCCATCTCATGTAAAATGGGAGCAAAAACAAAAGTGTTTATATTTTTGTTGAGTATATCTGGTTGTGTTTCCATTACACTTTAGAGTTTAACACAGAATCCTAGCAATCTCCCCCCAACAAACCAGTACCCGGGGAATTTCCTTGGTAACCATGGCTTCCAGCGCACACAGGCCAATCACTGTCAGTTAGAACACTTTAGTACTAGCTCGGCCTTGATAGAACTAGAACCAGGGACCAGGACCTAAAGACCTGGAAATGGTTAAACAGGGCTGGTGGAAACACTCTGCTAGAGTAGAATAGAACCTCAATCCTGGATCTAGTCTGTCCATCTGTCCACTAAAAAACATGCACAATAGTTATGAATGTAAATGAATGAGTGAATGGATGGTGTTGATTGGGGGCTGATGCGCCAGTGTGTTCGGCGACTCGCTTCCGTCATCACCGTGTGTGGAATAATTGGAACAATATCTGAACTCTGAACATTGTAAAGCGCTTTGGGTGACCTTGGTCTGTAAAATGCGATATATAAATAAACATTACTGGGGACATTACATCTGTGGGAGTGGATACCTTTCTCAATGTGGTTTCACAAATATTATCACACTGGGATTGAGTGTTTCCTCTCTTAGGCCAGGAGCCAGACCCCCCCCCTCCCCCCCCAATTATTTAACTATTATTTTTTGTTGTCTTGACAGGGCCAACTCGCAACTCTGCCCTGTTTAGTCTCAGGGGCAAAAAAAACATGGTTTTGAGTTCCGCCTTTTGCAAAATTATTTCTTTTGTAAAACTGAAGTTGCTGAAACCACATACAGTACATTGTCATATCTAGGGGTGGGAAACTAAGAGTACCTCACGATACGATACGATACACGATACAAAGCTCACAGTAATAATAATATCACGATAACGATTTTATCACGATATGACGATTATCGATATATTGGTCAGAAATATACCATCCATCCATCCATCCATTTTCTTCCCCTTAATCCATTTCTGGGTCGGGGGGGGTGGCCAGAGATGCCACCCAGTACACAGAGCACCAGCCCCTCACTGATCCTCCTGCAGGTGGTGAGTCCACAGGAGCTGAGATCTTTCAGTAGGAGCTTCAGGCAAAGTGGGGTTAAGTGTCTTGCCTAAGGACACAACGACAGCAGTCATCAGTGGGAGTCGTGATGTAGGTCTTACGGTAGTAGTAGTAGTAATCTTTATTTATATACCGCCTTTTCACTGCACATCGGAGTCTCAAAGCGGTTTACAATTGTTAGTTTTGGGAGTGGGGGTGCCAGTACAGGAGGCACATGCCAGACCTATTGTACATATTTTTAGTGGTAGGGGAAACCGGAGCACCCGGAGGAAACCTACGCAGACACGGGGAGAACATGCAAACTCCACTCAGAAAGGCCCTGGTCCAACCGGGACTCGAACCCAGGACCTTCTTGCTGAGAGGCGAGAATGCTATCCACTCAGCCACCGTGCCGAACCCACGACCTTCAGGCTCAAAGGCCAACGCTCTACCAACTGAGCTACTGTCGCCCCGTGACAGAAATATACCATATGAGAAAAATGTTAAGTGAAAAAATACACTTTATTTCATGATAAATGGAATGGAGATGCGTCATGTAGCCATATATTAAGTATTGATACTAATAAATAAGGTGGCTCCTGCCTGACGGATTTTAGAGTTTGCTAATTACAATTTTTTCTTATAATTACCCCCAACATGTATAAAACACAAAAAATTGTCTTTCCACCTGACAAATGGACATCCTAAGTGATAATTTTTAAGCATTTCATATTATACCTCAAATGTTGTTTAAATTGTGAGCTCTCGTTTTGAAATAGCTAGCCCAGGGGTCTCAAACCAGTTCCAGAAAGGGCCATGTGGCTGCAGGTTTATGGACTCATCTGTTTATGCATGTTACTACTGTGACACTGCAAAAACACGTGTACTGCAAAAACACGCGCACACTGAAAAAACACACATTGCAAAAACCCTCTCTGCAAAAACACGCACACTGCAAAAACACACTTTGCACAACCACGTACTGCAAAAACATGAGCTGCAGAAAGACACACTCAGTAAAAACACATTGGAAAAACACGCAATGGAAAAACATGCATGGCAAAAACGCGAACACTGGAAAAACACACGTGCTGCAGAAACTTCTGCTGCAAAAACACATGCACTGCTATAAAACATGCACACTACTATAAACACTGCAAAAAGCACTACAAAAATATGCACTGCAGAAAGACACGCTCAGTAAAAACACACTGGAAAACCACGCAATGGAAAAACATGCATGGCAAAAACGCGAACACTGGAAAAACACACGTGCTGCAGAAACTTCTGCTGCAAAAACACATGCACTGCTATAAAACATGCACACTACTATAAACACTGGAAAAAGCACTACAAAAACACGCACTGCAAAAGTACACACACGCTAAAAAAAACATGCACTGCAAAAACAAGCACTGCAAAAACACACTCAGCAAAAACACACACTGCAAAAGCACACACACAAAAAACACACACACTGAAAAAACATGCACTGCAAAAACACACGTTCAGCATAAAGACACTGAGTATAAACATGCACTGCAAAAACGTGCACTGCAAAAACGTGCACTGCAAAAACGTGCACTGCAAAAACGTGCACTGCAAAAACATGCACTGCAAAACACGTACACTGCAATAAAACATGCAAACTCCAAAAACATGCACACTGGAAAAACACACACTGCAAAAAGACATTCAGTAAAAACACGCTGGAAAAACTCGCATTGGAAAAACACGCTAAGCAAAAACACACTCAGTAAAAGCACATACGCTGGAAAAACACACGCACTGCAAAAAGACACTCAGTAAAAACACTCTGCAAACACACGCACTGCAAAAACACGCACTGGAAAAACGGACTCTGCAAAGACACTTTGCAAAAACACACACACACACAGTATAAACACACACTGCGAACACGCACACACACACAAGACATGCTTAACAAAAAAATGCACTGCAAAAACACACACGCTGCAAAAACACATGCACTGCAAAGCGACACACTCAGTAAAAAGACAGTGGAAAAACATGAACGGCAAAATTACGCACGGCAAAAACATGCACACCGAAAAAAACACTGCATAAACACTTACTGCAAAGACATGCACTGCAAAAAAACGCACTGCAAAAAACACATGCACTGCAAAAAGACACACTCAGTAAAAAGATACATTCAGTAAAAACACACTTGAAAAACATGAACGGCAAAATTATGCACTGTAAAAACACGCACTGCAAATACATGCACTGCAAAAACACACATGCAGAAAAAAAACACTGCGAACGCACACACTGCAAAAGCACTTACTGCAAAGACATGCTCGTCAAAAAAACGCACTGCAAAAACACACGCTGCAAAAACACATGCACTGCAAAAAGACACACTCAGTAAAAACATGCGTGGCAAAAACATGCACGGCAAAAAAAACGCACTGCAAAGACTGAAAAAATGCACACTCTGAAAACACGCACTGCAAAAACACACACACGCAGGCAAAACATACTACATGCACCAACTCTGCAAAAAACACATCAACTGTAAAAACACACGCGCTGCAATAAAACATGCACACTGCAAATACATACACACACACACACACTGAAAAAACGCACTACAAAAACATGCACTGCAGAAAGACAAGCTCAGTGAAAACAGCAAAAAACGCACTCTTCAAAACCACGCACTGCAAAACATACAGGCAGAAAAAAACGCAAACACAAGTGCTGCAAAAATATGTGTTGTAAGAACACGGGCTCAGTAAAAACACTCACTGCAAAAACACACGCTCAGCAAAAACAAACTGAAAAAAGACACTCAATAAAAACATGCACGGCAAAATAATGCACAATAAAAACACGCTCACTGCAAAAACATACACTGCAAAAACACACTCTCAGCTAAACACTCTCACCAAAAACACACGCACTGCAATAACACACCCAAACACACACAGAATAAACACACACTACAAAAAAACGCACTGCAAAAAAACACACTCTGTAAAACACACTGGAAAAATACGCACAGCAAGAACACACACTGCAATAACACACCCAGCAAAAACATGGGCTGCAAAAACACACTCAGCAAATCACACGCACTGGAAAAACACACACTGATTTAAAGTTTGTTTTCAGCTTTGACGATCATCATCACCGAGTGGAGGACGAAGTACAGGCGCGACATGAACCTTCAGGACAACAATGCCAAGTCCAAAGCCGTGGACTCGCTCCTCAACTTTGAGACGGTAAAATCCAAACTGCTCAGATGTTTGAAAATACATTCGTTTTTCATCTTGTGCTCTTTGCGCAGGTGAAGTACTACAACGCAGAGAGCTACGAGGTCAGCCGCTTCGAGGACGCCATTTTGAAATATCAGGTAAAACATTCTGGACTTTCTGCTGTAAAAATCCTATTCCAGGAGTGATCCATACTCTGCTCTTTTAAATACATGTAGTTAGATGGAGACGGCTTGTTGTGCTTTGATTGGGTCACAACATTTTAGTTTTGGGGACATCAACATATAAGGGGAAATTTAGGTTGCTTTATTTAATGAGTTTTAGATTAATTTAAAAAGGTATGTGTGTCTCTCTGGCTCTGTCTTTGTCTCTATCTGTGTCTTTCTCTCTCTCTCTGTCTGGTTGTCTCTCCCTCTCTGTGTGTGTGGATTTGAAATACTTGAACACTATAATCATGTATATTTGTGCGCAGGCGTCTGAGTGGAAGACACAGGCCTCTCTGGCGTTCCTGAACCAGACCCAGAACCTGATCATCGGCACAGGTTTACTGGCCGGATCACTGCTCTGCGCGTACTTCGTCTCTGAGAACAGATTCATGGTAAAAACAGACAGAACAATTTTATTGACTTTATTTTATTGTGTTGAAGGATTTTGAGTGGTGCTTTGTGTTACCAGGTTGGAGATTTTGTCTTGTTTGGGACATATATAATCCAGCTGTACACTCCACTCAATTGGTTTGGCACCTACTACAGGTGAGACTACTGCTGCTGCTGCTACTGCTGCTACTGCTACGTTTAATGTTACTACTATTAAACAGTTAAATTTAAATTTAATTTAAGTCTGTTATTCTTTCAGAATGATCCAGAACTCCTTCATCGACATGGAGAGCATGTTTAAACTATTTGAAGAAGAAGAAGAGGTGAGATACTCATAATCTGTTTTCTGCTCATGGACAAAGTTTGACTCCAGCTAGCTGTTAGCCTCATTCACATTAAGCTAACAGTATGATGATGTCACACTCTCAGTCCACTCCTAACACACGCTCGATGGAAACACAACACAAAAGCAGTAGTCTTTTTTATCTCTTTCTCTATCTTTGGTCTCTCTCTCAGTTTCTCCCTGATCTATCTTGGTTCTCTTTCTGGTCTCTCTCTTTCTTGTCTCTCTTTGGTCTTTCTGGTCTCTCTCTAGTCTCTCTGGTCTCTCTTTGGTCTCCCTGGTCTCTGTGGTTTCTCTTTGGTCTTTACATGTATTTGAAAATATGTAAAAAAGAAATGTATATGTGTTTGTCCTTAGGTGAAAGATGAGGTGAATGCAGGCAACCTGAACTTCCAACAGGGAAAAGTGGAATTTGAGAATGTCTATTTCAGCTACACCAATGGGTGAGTCAGACACAGACCTGCAGTAGATTTTAGCTCTATCCAAGCATGTATGTATCATATGTTTTTTTAAATCTGTTTTGCAGAAAAGAAATCCTCAGGGATGTCTCCTTCACTGTGCAGCCAGGACAGACTCTTGCTTTAGTACGTTTTACAAACTGTTGTAGAATCATGTAATAATGATTAGTAGTAGTACAAGAATAAAAGGTTATATTTTGTTTGTGCGTGCCTCTCTCTCTCTCTCTCTCTGGTCTTTCTTTAATCTCTTTCGCTGTGGTCTCCCTTGTATCTCTCGCTTTGGTTTCTGGTCTCTCTTCCACACAAACACAGAAAAAACACACAGGTAGCCTTACTCTCTTTCTTTCCCTGTCTGTTGGTTTGTATTAGTAGTACAGTAGTGTAGTAGCTAGTAATAGCTAGTAGTAGTAACAGTAGCATAAAGTGTATACATGTGTTGTGTGTTTGAAGGTGGGGCAGTCAGGGTCTGGGAAGAGCACCATCATCAGACTGATCTTCCGTTTCTACAACGTTCAGGGAGGGTGCATCCGCATCGACGAACAGGACATCTCTAAGGTCTGCCGGAACACACACACACATACACACATACCCGTTTGAGACGTTGTAAGGACATTTTTTCTAAAATCCCTTTAAACCAGACTGTACATAGGTATACGGGGACACTGGGTTCCCGTGGTGCTAGAGCCTCGAAAATCATATCAATGATCATGAAAAAAATCACAGAACCTATACACGGCTTAAAATTTAAAGATTTCCTTTGCTGCACTGAGATATAAAAAATGACTGTTTTCAAGACTTTTCAGGGGTTTGTAAAGACTTTTCAAAAACACGGTCTATAAGGACAGTGTGGTTTACAAGGTCAGTGATGTCATCATACACACACACACTATGTATACCTGGTTTGAAAGGACACATGGTCTGTGAGGCCTGGTCCGCACACACATACACTGTGTATAACCTGGTTTGAAAGGACACATGGTCTGTGAGGCCTGGTCCGCACACACATACACTGTGTATAACCTGGTTTGAAAGGACACATGGTCTGTGAGGCCTGGTCCGCACACACATACACTGTGTATAACCTGGTTTGAAAGGACACATGGTCTGTGAGGCCTGGTCCGCACACACATACACTGTGGAAAACCTGTTCTGAAAGGACACATGGTGTGTAAGGCCAGGTCAACACACACATACAGTGTGGATAACCTGTTCTGAAAGGACACATGGATAATGAGGCCAAAGAGACTGAGGCACATCATTATAATAATCAATAATCTATGGAGGATTGCTTTTTTAAGAGTTTGAATTGTCTCTGCAAACACGTGTAGAGCTTATTCTTCAGTCTACTGCCAAACTTTGTCATGTATTCCCTTGATACCTTCACTGAATTCCAGTTATTCCTAGTTTCAACTGGCTTCACCGTCTCTATCCTGCACTTAAATAGATGGTACATCTACAATCACTCCATTCTAAAAGAAAATGAGATCAAGCAACAAAAGGTTTACAGACATAACTGCTTCTTACCAACAGAGACGTGTCAATCACACACAAACTATATCTGTATCCACCAGAACTCAACTGCCAATCTGCAAGCATGCATCACATCTAGGGGTGGGCGATATGGACAAAAATAAATATCTTGATACTTTATACCCAACTCCCGATAACGACATTGTCACGATATCTTTAAAATAAAAAATGGTTACACAAAATGATCTGCAATGTTTTGCTTGCCATGGAATCTATAGATAAGAGACAGTGTAGATCAAAAATGAAGCTTTTTATTTTCTGAAGTGCTACACACATCTTTGCAAAACATGCACTAACATATATTAACATTAAAAATCAGATTCAAGAAACACAGAAAAAACACATCCAAAAAGGCTCAATATTTACTGAAATGTACAAATAAAGCAGTGATTGGCTTTTTAGGCACACATTAGACCAATGGGCATCTTTCCTTCTCTAATTGTAATATGTATTGGAAAATAAAAAAGATAATACAATAAAGCATATCTTCAAATTGGCGTTCACGAAATTATTGTCTACGATATATTTTGCCCACTCCTAATCACTTCCCCACCAGGTGTGTCACTGGTCTAAGGCGTGTCCAGGTGTGTCACTGGTCTAAGGCGTGTCCAGGGTGTGACACTGGTCTAAGGTGTGTCACTGGTCCATGGCGTGTCACTGGTCCATGACGTGTCACTGGTCCATGACGTGTCCAGGCGTGTCACTGGTCCATGGCGTGTTTACGGCGTGTCACTGGTCCATGAAGTGTAACTGGTCCATGGCGTGTCACTGGTCCATGATGTGTCACTGGTCCATGGCGTGTCACTGGTCCATGACGTGTCACTGGTCCATGACGTGTCCAGGCGTGTCACTGGTCCATGGCGTGTCCAGGCGTGTCATTGGTCCATGGCGTGTCACTGGTCCATGGCGTGTCCGGGCGTGTCATTGGTCCGTGGCGTGTCCAGGCGTGTCACTGGTCCATGGCGTGTCCAGGCTGCTCACACCCAGACACGTCATGGACCAGTGACACGCCTGGACACGCCATGGACCAGTGACACGCCGTGGACACGTCACGGAGCAGTGACACACCTGGACACGCCATAGACACGTCATGGACCAGTGACACGCCTGGACATGCCATGGACCAGTGACATGCCCAGACACGTCATGGACCAGTGATACGCCCGGACACGCCATGGACCAGTGACACGCCTTGGACACGTCATGGACCAGTGACACGCCTGGACACGCCATGGACACGCCTGGACACGCCATGGACCAGTGACACGCCTGGACACGCCATGAACCAGTGACACGCTCGGACACGTCAAGGCGTGTCACTGGTCCATGACGTGTCCAGGCGTGTCACTGGTCCATGGCGTGTCACTGGTCCATGGCCTGTCACTGGTTCATGGCGTGTCACTGGTCCATGGCGTGTCCAGGCGTGTCACTGGTCCATGACGTGTCCATGGCGTGTCACTGGTCCATGATGTGTCCATGGCGTGTCACTGGTCCATGACGTGTCCAGGTGTGTCACTAGTCCTTGGCGTGTCACTGGTCCATGGCGTGTCCAGGTCACACGTCATGGACCAGTGACACGCCTGGACACGCCATGGACCTGTGACACACTGTGGACACGTCATGGACCAGTGACACGCCTGGACACGCCATGGACACGTCATGGACCAGTGACAGGCCGTGGACACGTCACGGAGCAGTGACACGCCTGGACACGCCATGGACACGTCATGGACCAGTGACACGCCCGGACACGCCATGGAACCAGTGACACGCCGTGGACACGTCATGGACCAGTGACACGCCTGGACACGCCATGGACCAGTGACACGCCTAGACACGCCATGGACCAGTGACACGGCATGGACCAGTGACACGCCCGGACACGCCATGGACCAGTGACACGCCCGTACACGCCATGAACCAGTGACACACCCGGACACGCCATGGACCAGTGACATGGCGTGCCGTGTCACTGGTCCATGGCGTGTCCAGGCGTGGCGTGTCCAGGCGTGTCACTGGTCTATGACGTGTCCAGGCGTGTCACTGGTCCATGGCGTGTCCAGGCGTGTCACTGGTCCATGGCGTGTCCAGGCGTGTCACTGGTCCATGGCGTTTCACTGGTCCATGGCGTGTCCAGGCGTGTCACTGGTCCATGACGTGTCCATGGCGTGTCACTGGTCCATGACGTGTCTATGGCGTGTCACTGGTCCATGATGTGTCCATGGCGTGTCCAGGCGTGTCACTGGTCCATGGCGTTTCACTGGTCCATGGCGTGTCCATGGCGTGTCACTGGTCCATGACGTGTCCATGGCGTGTCACTGGTCCATGATGTGTCCATGGCTTGTCACTGGTCCATGACGTGTCCAGGCGTGTCACTGGTCCATGGCGTGTCCAGGCGTGTCACTGGTCCATGGCGTGTCCAGGCAACTCACTGGTCCATGACGTGTCCGGGCTGCTCACACCTGGACACGCCGTGGACACGTCATGGACCAGTGACATGCCTGGACACGCCATGGACCAGTGACACGCCATGGACCAGTGACACGCCCGGACATGCCATGGACCAGTGACACGTCGTGGACACGTCATGGACCTGTGACACACCGTGGACACGTCATGGACCAGTGACACGCCATGGACCAGTGACAAGCCATGGACCAGTGACACGCCGTGGACCAGTAACACGCTATGGACCTGTGACACACCGTGGACACGTCATGGACCAGTGACACGCCTGGACACGCCATGGACCAGTGACACGCCATGGACCAGTGACACGCCATGGACCAGTGACACGCCATGGACACGTCATGGACCTGTGACACACCGTGGACACATCATGGACCAGTGACACGCCTGGACACGCCATGGACCAGTGACACGCCTGGACACGTCATGGACCAGTGACACGCCCGGACACGCCATGGACCAGTGACACACCGTGGACACGTCATGGATCAGTGACACGCCTGGACACGCCATGGACCAGTGACACGCCCGGACACGCCATGGACCAGTGACACGCCGTGGACACGTCCTGGACCTGTGACACACTGTGGACACGTCATGGACCAGTGACACGCCTGGACACGCCATGGACACGTCATGGACCAGTGACACGCCTGGACACGCCATGGACACGTCATGGACCAGTGACACGCCGTGGACACGTCACGGAGCAGTGACACGCCTGGACACGCCATGGACCAGTGACACGCCTGGACACGCCATGGACCAGTGACACGCCATGGACCAGTGACACGCCCGGACACGCCATGGACCAGTGACACGCCCGTACACGCCATGGACCAGTGACACGCCCGGACACGCCATGGACCAGTGACACGCCTGGACACGTCATGGACCTGTGACACACCTGGACACGCCATGGACCAGTGACACACCTGGACACGCCATGGACCAGTGACCGCCACCACCTGAGATATAAAAGCCATAATATCAAACACAAAGAACAATGTTAGCTTCATCACTGAGCTGTATTTGTTCACCTCAATAATCTGGTCATGAACAGAACAGCATTGTGAAAGTTACACGGAAAATAAAGGTGAAACCAAACATTTAAATGTCCATATAGAATTCAGTCTTATAATACCTCTTTAAGGCCAAACCTCAAAATCCGTAATATCTTGAATGGATCTACTCTCCAAGACTGTGTGTTCCATTTCCTGGACTTTATGTCACTGCTGAATGGTGGCAGTTAAACCAATGAGAGGCCTCAGATGCTTCTTCACTGCTGTTATCCGCCTTGATGAAACAACTCTGAAACATTAAGAGAGATGAATTAGAATATTAAAACAACAAAAGACAAAAACATCTAAATAGATGAAGTTTCTATATACCAGTGCTTGTGCCCCCTTTTAAGACCGCAAACATAATCTGTACCCCCTATTCCTTGTTAAGATATACATTTAAACAGCCCCCATTATTCTTCAAATCCATCAAGGGAGATGAAAAGATGGAAAGAAGGAACTTTTAAGATAAACTAGTGAAACACATCTATTCTATTCCTGTGACATGTTTGGTTAGGATAATTGACACAAGAGAAATATACACCAGAGCTGTAAACAGCAGGTAAATAACTGGGACAAGCATTTTCTTCCACAGCACTACACAACCTCAAACTGCAAATAT